CCTCTCCCCCCCCGACACTGGCGGCGGGCGGTCGCGCAAGGGAGCACTCTCCTCTGTGTGCTTCCTCTTCAGCTCCCTCGTGCACCGTACTGATGCCGGAGCCGGAAGATGACGTCAGGTCGTCCGGGCCCAACATTTAGTGGTGTACATACCGGGTCGCAGGGCCCCCTGTAACCCGGTATGTACCCACAGGGCCAGCCTCTTCTCCTGGGGGGCCCAGCAGCCGGTCACCTCAGGGCCCCCCAGAGGCTGGCCCTGCTGACAGCCGGCGGGCACGCGCGTGAGGGAGCACTCTCTTCTGTGTGCTTCGTCTTCAGCTCCCTCGCGCACCGTACTGATGCCGGAGCCGGAAGAGTCATCTCTCGGTATGTACACCACTGAATGTCGGGCCCGGACGACCTGAGCAGTCCGGGCCCCCCAGGACCGCCGGGCCCATGACAACCGTTGCGGTTGTCATGCCCTGATGGCGGCCCTGCGTCTGATCTTGCAATGTACCGACCTGCACGACAAAAATAAAGAATTTAAAAAAAATTAAAAATGTGTACGTAAAGAATTTAAAAAATAAATAGATTAATTACCTTTTCTAATAAAAACAAATATATTAAGACATACATAAATAGGTGCCTCTCCTGATCTTATCCTCCTCCAAATGGATTATTTTTAACCAAAAAAGGGCTGATTTCTCAGCCAAATCCTTAGCTTCAATTAATTTTTATTATATTGATGTGTTTATGTCCTCGCAGATAAATGGGGACTGTGGGGGTGGTGGGTAACCATCTTATTAAATGCACAAAAAATTACAATGAACTATATGTTGGATATATTTCAAATGATCTTTTATGTTGTATAAATTACCTCCAATCAACTATTGTTCATTATAGAAATCATCTGAATGTTAGAATTGCTGTTATGGTGTTCAAACACTAGATGGCAGTAAGGAGTAGTATGTTACTGCCTCTATACAATTATAGCTCTATACATCTTCTGTGCACCCTGTATGAACACATAGTGACAGTAATATGTATTGAGATTCTTCACACTGGACGTCCCCATTGCTCCTTGATAGTTCTGCATACAGTACCTCTCTTCACTGAGTACTGATCCAGGGTGGGAAATTGTCTAACATAGCCATTGTTAATTCCACATGGCAGCTGTTCCTGGAGCAGGTAGTTCCCAATTATCTGTAGTGTAAAAGTTAGTTGGTGATCCATATCTGCCAACATTTCAAATAGACAAAGAGGGCACTCTAATTTTAGGGGTGTGAGAGGAGTTACGGCCAGGGCCAGGCTTTTCTGAGAAATTCTAGGTGGCTTACTAAAAACAATCTATTCAACTAAAAAGTAAGTTAAAACAAATAAAATGTATCAGGGATAGGCCAAATATTGTTTCTGACCCCCTGACGCTAGTTTCACACTTTTTTCAGCAATGTAGGATCTTGTTTACTATAATATAAAGAAAAATAAATTATCTTAAAGGCACAGGGAGCATTGTTTTATGGGATCATGACAAGTGCATTGTGGGTAACCGCACAGCTCACTCACCAATATCGTATTGAGCAAGTAACATGAAAAGGATAAAAACTGGGAAATCAAGTCACAAAAAGAGAGATTTGTCTGACAAGGAGGGCAGGTGGGTAAAAAATAAAATAAAAAAAAATCTGAGTTAACATAGGTAAATTTATAAATCTTTATTTTTTTTAACACACTCTGCAGCACAACATAGTGTATGCACATGAATGTACCATGTAAATGTAATTAAAATGCAAGATTCTGACTAGGAAGTACTGGGCAACCAATACAGTGTTATAGTCTGTCAATTATATACAGCTTTTTTTTTTTTTTATCCTGAGGAAAGCCCAATAAGGGGCTGAAACGTTGATCGTTTTTATGCATACCTAATAAAGTACATCGATTTTTTTTTAAGAAGTCCGTGGAGTGCAGCCTTACTTGTGGATACTCTATTTGAATCAGCCTGCAGGACACCCGGCAGTATTGGATACAGCATGAGTGCAAAGAGTTTTTGCTTTTTAGATATATATATATTTGTGTTAGGGGCAAAAAAAAGTAGAGTAATAGAGGGCAATATAGGAATAGCGTAATACAGAATGGAAAAAGTCGGTTGAGGTGTGCCGGAACCGACAGTGCTGGTAGGGCCTGTAAAATAAGTCGGCCCACCCAAGGTTAAAAAGAGAAGAAAAAGAGGTTATTATTGTGTAGTAGGAGGGACATGCAAATCACTAAAACAAGAACGGTGTGGACCAAGGTAAGGAGTCCCTTTAAGTAGGGAAATCATGCCCCTCCCACAAATACAGGCAAAAGCCTTAAAGGACCACTATAGGCACCCAGACCACTTCAGCTTAATGAAGTGGTCTGGGTGCCTGGTCCATCTAGGGTTAACCCTTTTTTCTATAAACATAGCAGTTTCAGAGAAACTGCTATGTTTACGTTAGGGTTAATCCAGCCTCTAGTGGCTGTCTCATTGACAGCCGCTAGAGGCCGCTTCCGCGCTTCTCACTGTGAAAATCACAGTGAGAAGACGCCAGCGTCCATAGGAAAGCATTGTGAATGCTTTCCTATGGACTGGCTGAATGCGCGTGCAGCTCCTGTCGCGCATGTGCATTCAGCCGGAGAGGAGGAGGAGAGCTCCCTGCCCGGCGCTGGAGAAAGAGGTAAGTTTAACCCCTTCCTCCACCCAGAGCCTGGCGGGAGGGGGGCCCTGAGGGTGGGAGCACCTTCAGGGCACTATAGTGCCAGGAAAACGAGTATGTTTTCCTGGCACTATAGTGGTCCTTTAATATCCAACAATCCAAAAAAGAGAGCACTCACTGGATTTAGTGGAAAAAAAAATCAAATGACTATATTTAAGCTCGCATAAATTAAATCAAGGTTTCGACTGACAAACGGTCTTTATCAAGATATATATATACGGTTTCTAGGTCTTCTCTGAATTATAACCATATCGTACACAGAAACCAATTTGTACATCTTCTGTTACATTTGCCCCATTCATGTTTATTAACACAGTCTACACAGCAACATCAATTTAGCCATCCTCCATGATAGTGCTGCAATATACTATTATATAAGTTTTTATTTCAAAATATATTTATAACTTTAGAGGAAGCTGTTTAAAGAACAAGCTTTATCTATATCTATCTATCTCTGTGTGGTTTCGGAGTATACGATATCTATATAAGTAGCATTTCTGAAAGAAGCTGGGATATATATACTTTTTAAAAGAGTGTGTGTCTCCCTCAAAAATTATTAGAATAACAGTTAAAGAAACACCATAGGGTCAGGTATACAAAATTGTTAAAACACTATTTAGCTCCCCTGGCCCTCCCTTAAATAGAGTGTCCTTGCCTGGATCCCACTCCTTGGCTGACATCAGAATTGAGGGGGATCACTGGCAGCAGCCTGATATGCAGTGCTTAGAGGGGGATCGCTGGCAGCAGTCTGATATGCAGTGCTTAGAGGAGGATCACTGGCAGCAGCCTGATATGCAGTGCTTAGAGGGGGATCACTGGCAGCAGCCTGATATGCAGTGCTTAGAGGAGGATCCCTGGCAGCAGCCTGATATGCAGTGCTTAGAGGAGGATCACTGGCAGTGGCCTGATATGCAGTGCTTAGAGGAGGATCACTGGCAGCAGCCTGATATGCAGTGCTTAGAGGAGGATCACTGGCAGCAGCCTGATATGCAGTGCTTAGAGGAGGATCACTGGCAGCAGCCTGATATGCAGTGCTTAGAGGAGGATCACTGGCAGCAGCCTGATATGCAGTGCTTAGAGGAGGATCACTGGCAGCAGCCTGATATGCAGTGCTTAGAGGAGGATCACTGGCAGCAGATTGATATGCAGTGCTCAGAGGAGGATCGCTGGCAGCAGCCTGATATGCAGTGCTTAGAGGAGGATCGCTGGCAGCAGCCTGATATGCAGTGCTTAGAGGAGGATCGCTGGCAGCAGCCTGATATGCAGTGCTTAGAGCAGGATCCCTGACAGCCGCCTGATATGCAGTGTTTAGAGCAGGATCACTGACAGCAGCCTGATATGCAGTGCTTAGAGGAGGATCACTGGCAGCGGCCCGCAGTATTAGAGGAGGATCACTGGCAGCAGCCTGATATGCAGTGCTTAGGAGGAGGATCACTGGCAGCTGGCAGCAGCCTGAGCAGCCTGATGCAGTGCTTAGAGGAGGGGATCACTGGCAGCAGCCTGATATGCAGTGCTTAGAGGAGGATCGCTGGCAGCAGCCTGATATGCAGTGCTTAGAGGAGGATCACTGGCAGCAGCCTGATATGCAGTACTCAGAGGAGGATCACTGGCAGCAGCCCGATATGCAGTGCTCAGAGGAGGATCCCTGGCAGCAGCCTGATATGCAGTGCTTAGAGGAGGATCGCTGGCAGCAGCCTGATATGCAGTGCTTAGAGGAGGATCACTGGCAGCAGCCTGATATGCAGTGCTTAGAGGAGGATCACTGGCAGCAGCCTGATATGCAGTGCTTAGAGGAAGATCGCTGGCAGCAGGCTGATATGCAGTGCTTAGAGGAAGATCACTGGCAGCAGATTGATATGCAGTGCTTAGAGGAGGATCACAAGCAGCAGCCTGATATGCAGTGCTTAGAGGAGGATCACTGGCAGCAGCCTGATATGCAGTGCTTAGAGGAGGATCCCTGGCAGCAGCCTGATATGCAGTACTCAGAGGAGGATCACTGGCAGCAGCCCGATATGCAGTGCTCAGAGGAGGATCCTGCAGCAGCCTGATATGCAGTGCTTAGAGGAGGATCACTGCAGCAGCCTGATATGCAGTGCTTAGAGGAGGATCGCTGGCAGCAGCCTGATATGCAGTGCTTAGAGGAGGATCACTGGCAGCAGCCTGATATGCAGTACTCAGAGGAGGATCACTGGCAGCAGCCCGATATGCAGTGCTCAGAGGAGGATCCCTGGCAGCAGCCTGATATGCAGTGCTTAGAGGAGGATCGCTGGCAGCAGCCTGATATGCAGTGCTTAGAGGAGGATCACTGGCAGCAGCCTGATATGCAGTGCTTAGAGGAGGATCACTGGCAGCAGCCTGATATGCAGTGCTTAGAGGAAGATCGCTGGCAGCAGGCTGATATGCAGTGCTTAGAGGAAGATCACTGGCAGCAGCTTGATATGCAGTGCTTAGAGGAGGATCACAAGCAGCAGCCTGATATGCAGTGCTTAGAGGAGGATCACTGGCAGCAGCCTGATATGCAGTGCTTAGAGGAAGATCGCTGGCAGCAGGCTGATATGCAGTGCTTAGAGGAGGATCACTGGCAGCAGCCTGATATGCAGTGCTTAGAGCAGGATCACAAGCAGCAGCCTGATATGCAGCGCTTAGAGGAGGATCGCTGGCAGCAGCATGATATGCAGCGCTTAGAGGAGGATCACTGGCAGCAGCCTGATATCCAATGCTTAGAGGAGGATCACTGGCAGCAGCCTGATATCCAATGCTTAGAGGAGGATACCCCAGCTCCTCTCTGTCCATATTGCTAATAAGAGAGTTACAATTCCACATTCGCTATATGTATTTTGTTTATGTTGGGGTTGCACCAGTGGTTCAACTTGTCAGCTGAAAGAACTAATAATGTCAATGTGGAAGTGCCATGGGTGCCCCTTGGTTTGTGTTATATGTCCAAAAATGGAGGGAGCGGTAGAGAATCCTGGCTCTATAACTACTAGAGCGGGCTGTAGTGGTTATGGTGTCTAGAGTGCACTTCTAATACTGTTCTGCTTGGACTATGGATGATAGGAGCTGGAGACCAAAGGCTGTGGTAACATCTATCTTACTGTGTTCTGCTTATTTAATTAGCACGCTGTGAATTTGCCGAATACTTTGATAGAAAGGGTGGGCGCAGAGTCAACAAGCGAGTATTTCAGCTCAGGAGAACTGCGCACGTTTCAAAGCACAGTATGAGATCGGTGTGAATTATCATGCAGGGAGCAGGTTGTGAGCACACAAAGGCAAATATGGAATTTGGAATTCAACGAAAGACAGCAAGGCAGATCAGTCATTCCTTCAAAGGAAACCACATTCAACACAGGCTTTTCTTGTAAGCGAGGCTTTCTAAACTATAAATGTATAGTTCACAGAAGCTATAGAAATAAGATCGACAACAAGTAAAAGCATTTTCTATTGTGTTAGTAAATAACAAAGAGACTATAATCTTCAGTTTTAGCTTTGGAAATTCTGGACAATGTGCTTTAAATGTGCTGTCACTAAGCTGGTTGGCACATTGTAGCACCTCAATAAATGTTAGCTATAAGTTTGTTTAAATAATGCATCAAAAGTTTTTTTGTTAGATTTTTTGCATGAAATGCATATTTCCCACAATCCTCTGTAAGCAGTCTATAAATGTGCATGGACACAGGTGCCAGGGGAAAATGTGACATCATCAGAAGGCGACAATTTATGGCCCAAATGGAAAGCTCACCTCCATTGCAATACGCACCGAAAAAAATGTGTCGGTAGCATTTACTGCGTCTTGTAAAAGAGGAATGTTTTTTTTAATTTTTTTAATGCTTTATTTTTAGTTGTGCAAGTTACAACAAACGAGCCTGTGTTGCCACAATAGCGGTCACAAGCATATCATCATCATACATGGTCAAAGTAGAAGGCCTGCACAATTTTATAATATTATAACATATCAGCTTGTGGTGCTCCAATAGCAGTCCTTGAGCGCCTTGTCATATCTAGCAATAGGAGCATTAGATAAACAGGCACAGTTTTAAAGAAAAGCGTGGATTTACAGATGCATGTACATCATGGTGCTAAGTGTTGACAGGCTATAAATGCATGAATGTTGGGTCTCTTAAGTATCGTTTGAGCTTCATGGTTGAACTATAGCTTGGACCTCTACGGGCACCAATGTGTAGGGTGTGAAGCTATGTGGGAACGGTCCACTGTTGCTCCCCAAGACAGGCCTGGGATCTAGTGTGTCAGTTGTGGGGGTGTCTGTCAGAGCCTACGTGCAGTAGTGCCAGGTATATGTGGTGGCGTGTGTCTGCTAAGTGCTGTGTCATGTCGGTTGGGTTAATCTGGAAGCGAGTGGGAATGCAAGGTTGTCAGGTAGGTCAGATCATGTGTGGGGCTGTGGGTGCTGGCTGTTATGTCAATGTTTGCGGGGGTAGATTAGCGCTTCAGGTTTGAGGTGCAAAGTCCAGAATTAGCCGATGCCCTTGCTTGGTGGTAAGCAGAGGGCAGCAAGAGATCCGGAGGCAGAGTTCAAGTAAGCCCTCCCCAAAGCCCCAGGCCATCCTGGAGACCTGCATCTGCGGACCACGAACTCGGGTACTCTTGGTGGAGGCCGCGTTCTTCCCTGTGCGTGGGCTGCCAGAGATCCTGGTGAAGAGTCGCCATCTGTGGTGTTGGAACCTCCGCGCCAGTGGCCGATGCTCTGGGCATGATCCTCTGGTGGTCTTCAGCCAGAGTAAGCTCATCTTGTAAGGCTGTGTGTTTGTTTCGTGAGAACCCACGCTTTTCTCTCCCGTCGTCTCTCCACTTATTTCTCACGGACGGTGCTTTTGGCTGCTTGCGATAGTTAGCTGGCTTGTCTCAGAGGCATGCAAGGTTTGCAGGTTGGCTCTGCCGCTTGGGCATACTTGCGTTCTGCGACGTCTCGCTCTTTGCCTGGACATGTGGCTGTGGGATATCCACCATCTTGGGGTGAGCCATCTGGTGTGTACTCTGTGGCATAGTTGATGCTTGGGCCTGGTGGTAGTTAGTGGTGGTCACCCGTGGGGACCGGGATAACCCCCACAAGTCCAGAGTGAGGAACAGCAGGACGCTGGTCGGAGAACTGGGGGAGCAGCCGTCTCTCCCCAGCTCAAGCTTGGGTAATTCCGGTGCCGTACCGGGTCATAAGCGGTATCTACGCGTGAGCCTGCATCTTGTGAGTAGTTTGGGTATCAATTTGAGTCGGTGGCTGCTGATGGCACGGAGTTAGCTCCAATTGTCTAGCCCAGACGCTAGAGCTCAGACGAGGCACGTCTGATCCGTTCTGCGGTCAGGCTCCACCCCTGGTTTTTTTTTTGTTTTTTTTTTTTAAGAAGACAATTCCCTAAATTATGTGCTGCACCCTATAAATAATCATTTGTGTCCTCTATGAGTTATACAGCTAGGCTCATCCTGCCTTTCAGAGCCTGGTTCCTCTGTTTCAACATGATAGTGAGGGATTTTACTTCCCAATTACAGTACAAATGATTGGATGCTGTGAGCACATATACGATGATAGGCTGTTAATGCTGGGCTATAGGCAGGTCCGAATTTCCCATTAGACAAAGTAGACACCTGTTCACAGGCACATGGCCAATGGGGATATCACAAATGTCTATTCAGATTGTTAAAAGTCACACAGCCCTTGATCGCAGAGTTCAGTCTGAGGGAGACTGATATCTTAGAGGCCCATTCTCTACCACCGAATTCCTGGATCCCCTTTCATGGTTATGTTACTTAGAGATCGTTTTAGCAAAATAAATCTACTGAGAATAGAATAGAATGCACTGGATGGAAGTGAAAATCCAAAATAAACACTGTTTATTTTTAAAATTAAAAATAAACTACAATCTCAAGATATACTGCAATATGGCTGTTTTAGCAGCATTCCATTTCTTTAACCTCTAATATTACAACTCCTATCATACTAAACCCCAGGACTGCAGCTGACCGAGCTCTACTTTACCTGATGTGCAAGTATATGTATGAGTGGGGATCTTGCACCAGTGGGTGGTCCTGATTGGCCCGCCGTTATAGTATACAAAGATCAGCCATATTCATGTGTTATCGGTAGTTTATTGCAAGGGTCTAGAGCACGTAAAAAGATCTCCCCGCTACTGGCTATTGGTGTCTTATATTTTGTACATTGATGGTCAACTCGCTGTTTAGTGAATAATCTCAACATGTATTAATAAGCTTTTTGACAGAATGCATTTGTTACAATAGCTGGTCAAGCACAGACATGCTCCCCATTTAGCTGGTCCTGTCCCCTGTCCTCCGTCCCCCATCCAGGAATATGTTTTGCTAATATTGGCAAGTTGTGAAAGTGCTTTGCAAGCTTGCAAATCAGCTGGGTTAATACAAGTTATTTTAATGTACTTTATTTTACTCCAATTGTCATTCCAGCCATTCCAAAAACAGTTGTTCTAGATAAGTATACAAGTATATTTTTAAAGTTGCCTTGCCACCCAAAATTTTCTTTGCATCAGTCAGTTTAATGTAACCACTATACAGTAAATTAATTTAGCTATAACTAAAGTTCCATGTATGATGTTTCGTGAGCATGGAGGCCGCCATCTGGAATTGATCACAATTGTTTAAATGCTGAAAACATTTATTAAGAAATAAAATGAGAGGATGTGATAAGAGCAGCCAATTAAAACCTAGGATTTTATTCGAATTAGGCTGATTAGTTTCCAGCATTCCAAAGTACAAGGAAGAAAAAAAAAATATAGTGTTTAAGGTACCTTATGATGCAGGAGACCCACCTTGTGTACAGCATGTCAAAGGTAATTTAGAAATATTTTATGTGGTTTTATTAAATGACAAAACATACAAACAAATTGCTAAACAGATTAAAAAAAAAATATATCAATACAAGGTAAGAGGAGTTTTTAAAGTGCTGCTTGACAGAACAAAGAAAAATTTAGGTGACAGCGTCACTTTAAAAATTCTGTTCCGCAGTGATTCACTCTGCTTTACATATGTACATGTGCTACAGGGCACACCGTTTAATGACGGGGAGTAC